GGCCCAAATATCGGAGGGGCGAGTAAGATAGAGGGTATCACGGCGCAGCATTGATAGATGGTTCGATCATGTTGCAGAGAGCGAGCAGGGAGGTGATTCGGCAGTGGCGGAGTCGCAGGACGGGACGCGTAGCTACAGCTGCAAGTGTTGCGGGAAGAGTTTCATCAGTGCCAGCTTTTTGCAGGCCCACTGGAACTACCGGTGCTATCTGAACCCGGAGTCACAGTTGTATAAGACCGGTAAGGTTGGCCGGTTCGCGTGCAACGTCTGCGGGGCGAATTACTCGCGGCACAACGACCTGATGTGGCACGTGCGCCACGAGTGTGGCAAGCTGCAGAGATGCACGCACTGCGGTAAAACTTTCCTGCACCGGACCAGCCTCTACAATCACAAGACCCGTTACTGCCCGTTCCGGCGGATAGTCGACAAACTGACCGCTAAAAGCAACGATCTCGCCGCGTCCTTGAAGATCGACTCGTCCATGAAGAATGAAATCGTTTTGGACCCCATGGATTTTTAAAACCCCTTACTCCTGCGCTCTCGTCCTCTTGTCGGTTGGTCATACGGGCTAAATATCTTCGCTTATCGGTGAACGGAATCACAATCGTAATTTTCGTCGGTTCGTGGATTGACCTTACAAATAATCGATTGAAACATGCCCTGCAGGATACACGGAGGATGCGGGGAACAATGAAAAGTAAGACTGCGATGTGACTTCGGTTAGAGGTTGACGATACCCTACACGGTGAATGTGAAGTCTGCGAGCAGGTGTAGGTATAGAATGTTATGTGCCGGATGAGTTGTGAGAAGTAGGATCCTTGATTGTCTTTGTTAGGATGGGAGGTAGAAGGAAGGTTTTAGGAAATTAAACGTTCTTGAATTTGTTGTTTGGAGCTTTTTTCTCAAGGTTTTTTGAAGGTCATCAATGTTTTCTTTTAATGTCACTATGTACTTTGAACTTAGTGGGGTTATACCTGATGTGGGAATAAAACTAACGACGTACTGCAGTATGATATTGGAGTGATCTTGGACTTAGGAAACATGGGTTCTGAGATTCGAAGTATGATCATCGATAGGCTGATTAGGAACTGTTAAATTTTTATTATCGGAATTGATACTGTTTTCTTTTCTAATAAAGATGTTCGGGTATCCTGTTTCTCGAGACTCTTCCTGTACAAGCTTTACGTTATTTTGTACACATATGACGATTTTCCTTGTGGAAAGTATGTGTATGTTCAGCATTTAGACTGTTGAAGTTTATGAAGCTGTGAGAACTATAAGAGTATGTTACATATGTATGATAACCATGAGAATTGTTATCCAGTAGGCTCTTTTTTCACCGTTCTTAAGATAAGTGATCCTTGTCGATGAATTTAATTGCCAACGCAAATGCATTTAAGTATGTATTTATCGTTAACGCACAGAATCGCGACAACGACCCCGTGTTCTTTTACGTTCAGCTTTTCTCCGCGTTTTTGTTACCGACCAGATCGATAATATCCAACGGCGTTATACATAATCCACGTTATCTTCTATAATCTTGTAGCTTTTGTACACACCGAATAAAAGACTTTTTACAATATTCTAGCCCGGACCTTCTCCATGATTTTTTAATAAATTTCAATAAATCTGTGCATCCTCTTCCCAATGTTCTTATTCCGCAAACATTGCAACTCCAAAGAAATCTACTTTCTTTCCTTGGTAAAGAAACAAAATCAAGTTCGACTGTCGCCTGTTTGAGAAAGATAGCCTCCAAATACCTACACGCCTAGATTAGTTCAACACAGAGGAATGCTAAATCGAGAGCCGCGCTGTCATGTGCCTCTGTTTTTAATTCGTTGTTCTTGATCCGGTGTTTCAGGGTCGGTGATCGATTACCCGGGCCCGGACCCGTCAAAACGGAAGTACGTGTGCGAGTTTTGTCGCAAGCCGTTCACGCATTTGAGGTTTCTGAGCAAGCATCGTAATAATTATTGCTACTTTAACCCGTGTTCGATGTTTTACAAGACGAAGGCGTCGAGGCCGTACATCTGCATCCTATGCGGGGCCAGTTACAGTAAACAGTCGTCTCTGAAGTCGCATATACGGTTCGACTGCGGGAAAACGCAGAAATGCGACTGGTGCGGGAAAACGTTCTTGCACAGCAGCAGCTTGCGCAAACACAAGGTTCAATGCTGTCTGGTCGAGAACGAGTAAAGAGAACCGTTCGATCCGATCCATCGAACGAGGAAGACTGGTCGTACGGAACGAACATGGTGGCCGCCATATTGTCGCTACGTCTCCCGCTTAACACTTTGAGTGCCAAGCGCAACATTTGGGCAATGAGAAAGTATGTTCAGTTCTTCACCCGTTATATATGACAAAAACATTGTAGCAAAAAATGGGTTGTGGGAGGTGAAAGTAGAAGTTTCACACTTTGTTATGAACCCAGATAGAATGTTGTGCGAGTTCTTATTACGAAGTTGCAGAAGTTCACAGGTCCACGATTTTGTTATTACAATATAGTGATTCTTTAATTTTGTGGAGTACTGTGTATTCCGTGAGTTGAAAAATCGAGGTTTTATTATTGCATTCAATGCGTGTACAAGAAAAATATAAATGAGTAAATTCGTATTTTGTAAAGTTCGAGTAAATGAGGCACAACGCGGTACTCAAAGTGTTAATCCATCAAGAAATCTCTGTCGCGCGCTTTCTTTCCTTCATTTTCATTCTCTTTCGTTTCTTTTCTACTCTGCTCACCGTCGTGCTGAATCGCGCGTATCGCTGCAATTGTATTTCATAGGGCGTAAGACAGACAGCCAGGTCTGAATGTATAGAAATAAAGGTACTATTGGACGCTGTCTTTTCCCGTTCTTAACCCGCTCACGCAAAATCCTCGATGCTGACCTAATGCACGAAACCGTTTAACCCTTCGCCTTATGATTTCTTCTGCAACTATCCTCTTTGAAGCTGCATTATACGTGGTAATTAACTAGGCAAGACAGAATTCTACGATCATTGTAAGCCTGTTTCCTATAAAGACGAACTGTTCCCAGGAGAAACATAATATCTACCCCCGACTTGAAAGAAAAAAGCAATACTTAGATTTGTTAGATTCAGTTTCAACGCTTCGTCACGTATCCTGCTTGACGTTATAAGGCAAGGGGTTAATCATTGATCGAAAGTGTGGATCGTTCGTCGCTATCGGGCCGTTTAGATGCTCCGTGGGACACCTGTATCCTCGTCCCCTATTTCTTGTTTAAGAACAAAGTTCCGGGTATCAAGCGTTCGCGCGCTTTACCGAGTAATCCGCGTGAAAATACCGGGCGGTCAGCTCCGTAACCGTTCCTTTACCGCCGGGTTGGAGCGCGACTGATATATTGCTGGTTAATAATGTTGCAGAGCAACTAGCGGACGACACGAAAAGAAAGTACAATTGCAAATACTGTGGCAAGGGTTTCACCCTGTCCGGCCACTTGAGGAGCCACCAGAAGAGCTTCTGCTATTGGAACCCCAGGTCGACCTGCCACCAGTTGCAAAAGAGCAGACCGTACTCCTGCGGTCAGTGCGGTGCCTGTTACTCGAAACAGTCTCACCTGATCTTCCACGTGAGGCACGACTGCGGTAGGACGCAGAAGTGTCCCGTTTGCGGGAAAACGTTCCTCCACAGCAGCAGCCTGAGGAAACACCGGCAACGGCCCCCTTGTAGCTTTCAGACCCGCTAGTACGATATCGGCGCGCACGTAAGATACGCGGGGCTTTCGAAAAGTTCTCGAAAAATGTGAATGAGAAGACAACGAATTGAATTAGGCGCTTTTTTTCTAACGTATGTTTCATTTAAGTTAAATATTAGTACTCCATAAAAGAAATCTCAACGAGTTCACGAACGTATCAGTTAATTGTAAATATATGGTATTCTATTTACGGAAAATGACGATTTTCTGGGAACTCTTTGAATGCCCCTTGTACATTCGGAGAGTACGGAAGCGACAGCCATGTTGGCCGTGTAAAGAGTCAAGAGAGGAAGGATCTGTCTGTGGGCTGGGCGTATGGATACTTAGGTCGAATACATTATTGATAATAAGATGTAATTGAGAGATTATTCATAGTCTAAAGAATTTATTGCTCTTTGTTTCGATTAGTTTGCCCTTATCTGAGATGTTCCGAGATCGTTTAGAAATGCGGTTTAAGAAGATTTGAAACTGAAGGATAATAGGCTTGCGGATTTCAACGGGAAGCTACAAATGTGATAGAATATGTTGTGATTTTTATATTGTAAAATAGTTTGTTCTGTTTAAGTTTTCAATGGAAGATTATCAGTTAACGCCAACAAGGCTATACCAGCTTCAGTGTTACGTTTTAGAATGGAATATAACCTTATGTTTTCTTTGCGAAGTTTGAAGGTTATTCTGGAGCGCGACATCCTCTTCCCTGTTTCTCCAAGGAAGAAGTGTCACTGTGCAGTGTATTTCAATTGTCAGTCGTTTAACTGTTCGATAGATTCGAAATCGTAACTCGTTTCGCGTTCACGATTAAGAACCACGGACCAAGTAACTTCGATTCTTTCGTGAGATTCCAGCCAAATATAACAAAGATTCCTAACACGACTCGATCTTCATTAACCTTTACCATCCCTCAACCAATGATTCCATTCAGTTCGTTCTCTGATGCGGTGCTTGGTATTTTCAGATTCCAACCCAGCGATACTCTCGGACGCCCATCGAAACGTACCCCACGGGAAAAGAGAACCAATCAAGGGATCATCAAACTCCGTCATCACGAAGCGTTCATTCCACCGATGTGTATTAACATATTCATCGATAATAAAACGAGAATCACTAATACCAAGTCCCTGCGTCTTCTCCTTTCGCCGTTCTTGCATGAATTTGAAACGACTACAATGGGTTGCCCTGGGTTTTCCGTGCGCTCTTCATCTATGTCTCCGTTTCGTAACCATCTTCCAATCCCGCTGCGTTTACGGTGCATCGCTAATGGCAAAAACTAATTTTCTGTTGTTCCAGGAGTGGCGAGGAAACGGGTGACCGTTTCGTGTGCCCGAACCTCAGGCTCGGGGGTTCGATCGACGTTCTTGAAGGAGACGAGCCCAGTGATCGTGCCACGCCACCTGAGAACTTCAACCCCGGAGCTGGACGAGCGAATAGTGAACACCCATGTGGAGAACAGGAAAATGGCGGACATTCAAGTAGTCAACAAGCAAATGGTCAAGAGAAGAATGGCGGACATTCACGTAAAGGACAAACGAATGGTCAAAAGAGAAATGGCGGACCACCATGTGGTCGACAAGCGAGTGGAGAATAGACAAGTGGTGGACAAGCGGACAGGGGACAGGCGAGTTGATGATCAGCGCAAGAGGAGGCGCAGATCAAACAGCAGCAAGTCTGACAGCGGCTCCTCAACTTGCAGCGAGTGGATGGACATAAAGAATACGAACCAGTACAAGCAATATCACATCTGCAAGTATTGCAACAAAGAGTTCAGAAAAGGGAACGTCCTAGCTGTACACGTGAAAAACAATTGTTTAAAAAATCCAGCGGCAACGTGCAACATGCAGGATATGTCTCGACCATATGTCTGCAAGGTTTGCGGGTGCCGCTTCGGCAAAAGGAAAGCGTTGAGCTACCATGAAAGGCACGTTTGTCAGAAATCGATCACCTGCCATATCTGCAACACGAAGTTATCCGGATCAACCGCGATCGCGCGGCATATTGTTCGCTGCAAAGAGAAAATGGCCTACCAGCAGCGCAGAGGTCACAAGGACAATTATCCGGCCATGTTCGTCCACTCGCAGATGATCTCCTCGAGCTCGGACGACAACGAATAAATCTATTTCGCGGTTCTTCGCGGGTCGCTTTTTAAATTATCGATGATGCGTTCGGTGTTACTGCGGTTTTTCTGATTTTCTTTTCGGTAGAAGTTCACTTGCACTCGATACAGCCATTTCATTGTTTATGATTCAGTAGGGAAAGAAAGGAAATTCTACGTTCATTCTGTTCGTTTGTTTTAAAGCATCTCAGTTGATGATGGAAAAATAATAATTAATTTAAGGTTGAAAAATGAGGTTTGTGTTTGTTAAATTCTTAGCCGGACTAGATTTAGCAAGGCAAAGTGTTAATTGGTAATTGGAGCGGAATGGAAATTTCTAGATGAGTTAGGGATATATTGATGGGAATAATATCGGTATTCTTTCTTATCGAGGAAGAACCTGGAGATTTGTATTGTTTTGCCATTATGTTGCGGATATGCTATTGAAATATTTTTTTCGATAAATCGATAAAATCGATGTACTGTGGGAATGTTTTACTATTTTTTAATATTATTTTAAAAATATTGTCTTAAGTTTCCTTTTTATGTCTTTAAGGGTTTGGTCTAATTGGCATACTTAAATCATGGGAAAATATAATTTTTTATATAATAGTATAAAGTTTAAAACTATTTAAACGAAATAGTCACGAAATTTCTTTTGTTATACGTGAAATTATGTAATTAGTATTAGTGGGTTTATTACTTCTAAGAATAACTGTCTTTGATTCATACTGGTATTGAGCAAGCTTGGTTTCAACGAATTCTTGTGGATGATTTTAAAAGTGACCCCCGCATCTTCATATCTAATTATTTCGTTACCGACTGTTTCATTAAAAAAGTCATACTGATGGATTTTGAAGTCGTTACCAAATACCATAAGAAGTATTATTAACTTTTGCCAGTTTCGTTCAGTATTTTGCATTACTGCGATTATTTATTTACACAATACGATCTTACGATTATTTTTCTACCGATTCATTTTGTATTTTATATTATTTCGTATTTTTTTACCTTCATACATGTTAACGCTCAGAGATTGTAGCGTTGACTGTGCAACATCGTACAGGAACGTGAAAACATAATACACGTATTTTGTATACCAATAATTTGTTCTACTTTTAACAGACATTTCCAATAGTTTACCAGTTCTAGTTTTTGCATAGAATCCTTCTCGAACATTTTTTAGGATGCCGTGATCCGCTCGAAGAAATTCACTGTCAATTTCCGACCATCTTCCTGACGTGATTCATTACTAGTATTTAACAAAGTTTTTAACAAATGTACTAAACAATAGTAACGGTAATTAGTTATCCGTATTATCTTATAATTCTAAGAATATATGTAGCATTTATTAAGATAAGTAAACGTGTGTTAATGAAATAATGTGAATATTCAAGTTAATTCGAGTGAAAATATATCATCAATTATCAACCGAGAATTTTGTTAGACGCAGACTGTTTTATGAAACGATCAAACCCCAAACACGACAACGCGACCACAACGAACTCGATAATCACTGTCAGCTGCGACCGATTAAACGATCAAATGCTCATTATAAACCCAACATCACCGAGTTCCTAGAATATTCATGTGACACGTTAACATTAATATTCATTAAAAGCGCCCCATTATCCAAATATTAACTACTCTATTCGTAGAACGTCAACTGTGCGCGTGAGCTGTTCAAACGCCAGCAATGATTCTATCCGTATGCTAGTGGCGGTGAAAGTGTACGAATGACTTCAGTCGATCGGAAATGATGCAGAAGGGTACCATATAATATCTTCTGTATCGTTCCGATATTCCTGGACACCTACAGCTTACCAATAAAAACTATATCTCGAAGACAAGACTCTTGACTTCTTTAGTCCACGATAGGACCTGAAGTGCCAAGCATCCGGGGTAACAAATACAACTACTCCTTACCATTCACAAACCACCGACATCTAAACTCATTGTACCGCTTAGGTAGACCACTGACAAAGTGTTAGACCCTCGAAGCGGTCGGTTTCAGACACAAAAATCTCCAGACCTAACCCAGTCCCGTCCGGCGGCGATAGCGGTCCCGAAGTAGCTCTCTTCGTCGTTAGATGATCGAAGCATGGATGACAATAGTCCGCCGGTCACGGTCTGCTGACACTAACTACCATAAAAAATTCGATTCTTTTTCTAGATACGATGTACGGCCGGATACACTATCGGCAGGACATTGGCGGTCCATTGCGGCGGGAACCGTACCGAACGGCGAGGAGCGAGGACGAGATGAAGGAGGATGCATATGCGTACATGGAGCACGGCGCCGCGTGCCGGCAGGAGCCGATGCTATCCGAGATGAGAGCGCTCTGGCCGGACAGCGTGCACGTGCAAAACCCAACGCCCAGGAAAAAGTTCTATTGCCCCAGGTGCAACAGCGGTTACACCAGGCTCTCCGACATGAAAACCCATTGCCACTTCCAGTGCGGCAAGGAGCCGCGTTACCAGTGCCCGTACTGCAACAAGAAGGCGAAATTCTCGTCGAACATGTACGTCCATGTGCGGAGGATGCATAAGGATGAGAAGCTGCAGATCATCGACTTGTATAAACAGCTGTCGAGGGGTCGCTGTTAGAATCGAGAACTACCCGGGGAACGGGGACTGATTGAACGACTCATTTTAACTGTTACGCAGCGGTTCGAATTGAAGCAGTGATAAGAACTAAGGATATCTGTAAATGTTGTGGGCGTATTGGTTTTGATTTCTATCTGTTTCGGTTTCGGTTCTACGAAATCGATGTTACGTCGATCCCGCACGTAGAAGATGATTGTAATCAATATAGACTTGTGAATGATTGTAGAATATAGAATCGATATGATATCGGATCTGAAGGACCGAAATGTAAACTGTATAAACCAGAATCGGTACGTTTGTGACAGTTGCGGATACCTTTCTCAGTTTTTCTAACTGTTTTAGGGACTAAAACTGATAAAATTATTTTCGACCATTGAAGAAGACGAGAAAGAGAGAGAAGAAGATGGTCAACGCGAGCGATACATATCTTAAGTTTGTTTAGCAACTTACTATCCGATGGAGGTACCATTAGAGCGTGCATGACTTACGAGGATCGTCGCCTAATCGCCCTCGATTTTCATGAAACCTTTTACGTTCGTAGTACAGACTTAAATACTGAATACGTGGTTCTTTTTATCGAAGACACGAGTTTCAGCGTGGGTGTTAGTTTTCGTAAGCTCGAATCTTTATTAATGGAAACATACGTATCCTTAATTTCGGTCTCTCCTGCGGAACCGCAGGTTCCATTAAAATCAGGGTGACTGGCATTCCTCACTTCGAACGACGAGATACCACCTATCATTGTATAAAAAAGCTAGCCGAGGGATTTTTGTAATCGATTCAGAGATCGGTTTATCTTGTCAGACCACGTGTTACCCACGAATGGCCCGAATAAAGGCATTTCGACGCAGCTCGCCGCCTCCCAACAAGTTCCCTTCTCACGTATTGTTTTGCGTTCGCTTTTACTTCGCATGACTTGAAACGATCGTTCGAGCGGATTCGAGTTCTCTCTCGTGACGGGAGACGTTCCCTCCGCGGAATGGAAAGAAAGTGTCGCACGAAGCATCTGGGTCCGTTTCATTCGCTTAAATAACCGCACAGTATTAAACAATAATCCTTCTCTTGAACCTAAAGTGAAACGAATAAAAGCATTCGCTACCTCATCGAATTTGCCGTTAATACTTTCAAAAATAAGTATCAAAATTGCTTTGTCACGTGAAGAATATTTAGCGACCCCTCGTCCAACGAAAGTAAAAACGAGAAATCATACGAGCGGTCTTTTAAGTGCCATGAAATGTTCCACGTTCTCCTTTTCGCTCGATCTTCCCCTATTGACCGTCCATTTGATGTTTGCAGGTGTGAAACGATTCGCTGCGTCCAGGCTGTTGCTGACCGTGGGCCAGCGCAACAGACTTTACAGGACTTTCGTACCGAACAGTACCAGCAAGTATCCTTGCAGCAATTGCACGAGTGTTTTCAGGCAGAAACGGAGCCTGCTCACACACCTGAGATACGAGTGCGGGCAACCACCACGGTTCAAGTGCCCCTACTGCGACCTGATCTCGAAGAAGACGTCTAACATACAGAAACACATCCGGCGGAAACACGAGGGCAGCGTGGTCTACGTGCAGGACATCTATCGATTGACGAATCGGCCGATTTAAGCGTTTATCTGAACGGTGCCGGTCACGCAGACGTTTTTAATCGCAGTTCTCTGCCGCTTCGTGACCGAACGATACTTGACACATCGCCGAGCAGTTGTTAACACGTGCGCGACCTTTGAATCAAACCTTTTTCCTATTCAAATCTGTCACGGTTTGGTCGTTTCAGTGAAGATCTCATGCTCGCAGAGTCCAATGGCTTTATTTTTCAACAAACTTTCCAGAATAAAGCTGGACGGCTGTAGTCGTCATTTGCTTTTCAGAACTTTATACATCTATTTACTAAGAATATGGGAGGACTGTCGCCGTCATTTCAGTCAACGTGTTAACGCTTCGACTGCCATACGTATTCACACTCCTGGGCGATTAATTCCACTTTCCGAATGTGTATGAAGTGTAGTGCCAAAGTACCTGTTCGACGTTTGAACGTGCGTGTAATCTTCTCTAGTTTCTGTTTCGTGAACTGAACTTCTGTTTGGCAAAGAAGTTATTCCAGACGTACGGATTCAGTTGAATTGTGATAAAGTGACTCTTCAATTTCTGTTTTATTCAATAAACGACATCGATTTTACAGGGTTTTATCAATGCCAGGTCTTTCCGACGAACGATCGCGTGATGAATTTTCTTCCGCGAATCATGCTTCCTTATTGATCGAACTATGCAACATCGATCGACTGTTTCCCGATTCGCCAGTTATAAAATTGTTTTGGTTTAGTTTTATTTTGTCGTTGACACGGTACTTCCTGTATTTGGTTCGCAGCTCATTTTCATCGCTACTCTGGAACTGCTAACTGCACGTATTCACTCCTTAAAATATTCAAACCTTTCTTTAATCACTCGTGAAACAGTGGTACCATCATACTTGTCGCATACTAAACTTCATTTCAACGACAAATAAAACGTCACGATTGGAAGACATTCTTCTAACATATCATTTTCCGTTTTCAGGTACCAAATTGGTTAGAGGTGCACTCGAACTATCGCCTTCGAATATGTTCACCGCTATCCTTAAGGATACTGACCTCGCCATAAGTTTGTTAGCAAAATCAAGCTATAGATCGAGGCGAAACTGGGCGTAGAACTTACAGAATTGAAGAAGAAAGAGCTCCGTCTACTCATGAAGTATTTAAGAAAGATATATGACAGTGCAAAGAAAAAGGAAAAGACTGCTGATCCGAAGGATCTGAAGATGAAGAGCAAAATGAAGTGGAAAGACAGGATCTAAAGTAAAGTACACTTATAAATGAGAACACAAATGGCATAAAATACGGCCTAGAGAAACCAAGAGCTACACCGGAAAATGATAGCTCTAAAAAGAAAGGAACGAAGAGGTTTAGCAATGGCAATAGTTTTTTTTCAATCTGTAATACTGTGCCCCGAACTTGCTGCTCTTTTTGGTGTGAAGCAAATGTGCAAAATCTGCGAAAGGTCCAAAGTATCATTACAGAAAGGAACCCTTACGATCCCAGGAATAAGCAGTTGTGTATTTGCAAGTGTAGAAAATAACATAGGTATATATTTGGTGCAAGGTATGCAATAATTTTGAGCCCCAAGTTTCGATGCGCGAGGGAACAAAAATTCGTATTGAACTTCAATTAACACGACCGCTGGCTTAATTTAGGTTGAAGAATCACGAGGACGAAATTGATTAGAAACGTTCAAACGGAAGAAAGAACAAAGAACTACGCGGAGTATAGCTAAAAGGAAGTCGCGTGTACTTACACGGAAGTAGAAATTGCAATAAAAAGTTTGTTTTCTAAAGGAAAGGATGTGCGGTGCGTAGTCGTTTATTCCGTGAATGTATTTGTGGATATCAGTAAAAAGTATTGCATCCATTTCTGTTCTTTCTCAAATCCAGTATACATGGTCTTACGAATAAAGATGTTTCACGAAAGAAAATCTGCATGTCTCGTTGCCCCGTGTGCCCCTCGGTTCTCGACTAATTCTCTAACACTTAACTCTAACTATCGACGCTTCCGACCGCGCGTTAGTCTGATCGGCAGGACTATTAGCTCGCGTAACAACGATCTTTATGCTTTCAGCTTCCAGGTGGATCGTTGCGGACATGAAGGAATTCAACGGTCGAATGTTTCCATGTCCGAATTGCCCGGGCTCTTTCACCAAAAAGAAAGGCCTCAGGGAACATTTGATCTACCAATGCGGCCAACCGCCGAGATACCAATGCCCGTATTGCACGTACTGTACGAGATTGATATCGAACGTGTACAAACACGTGCGCCGAAGGCATTTCGGCGAAACAGTGTGGTGTATCGATCTGAAACGCGAACCGAAGCTATAATATATAGTCTATAATATACAGGTTAACGACAACATGTGTACGACCCACTGATGTTTCGATCCGTTGACGTTTAAGAGGACCATCCCAACCAACATTGAAATAAACACGATTTTTTTAAAGATTTCTGTTTTATTTTCTTCGAAAGAGAACGGACTCGAGCGTGCAGAGACCCATCATCATACTTGTGTTGTTTCTTTGCGAGTCATTCGAGTTGGTTTCGATATCGGTTTTCTTTCTTTCTTTTTTTTTAAGGACGGGGAGACTTGTGATAGCTCTTTTGCAATCGTTTCTTTTGCTTCCAGACCAGCCGTTCCCCTTCGACCGTCTTGTTGGCGAACGGGACGGGTCCGCCGGCTTCGCGTATCAACTCGTACAGAACGTCAAGTTCCCGTGTCCGAATTGCAGCAGCGTGTTCAACCGGAAGAACAACCTGCAGAAACACCTGAAGTACGAGTGCGGCCAGTTGCCCAGGTTTAAGTGTCCTTACTGCGAGTACAGGTCGAAGAAAACGTCGAACGTACGGGCGCACGTGCGTTGCATCCACTTTGGATCCATCGTCCACGTGATCGATCTGAACGCTAGCCACTGTTAACAGCCCTCGACGCGGGGTCGTTCCATTCAGCGAGAAGTCTGTCGAGATCTGTGTCGACGAGCAGTTTCTCCTTGACGGCGATTTAGACGTTCAAAGGATCCACGGACCTGGATTCGGAACAATTCACGTCAGTGCTAACCAGAATCAAAGGGTCTCTGAATTCGTCGTTTCGATGACGAGAAGATCTCTTGTCATTAAGTTTCTCGTTTTTACCGAAGTTAAGAGTTCATTTTCATTTCTGGAAAACGGGCGCGCCGAAAAAAGGAGCAGTGAAACTAAATAGTAAGAACAATGGATAGCTTGTGAATTCTTAGCGAGCATATTGTATAATAAACGGAGGGGTAGCAAGCGATATGGGGGCCAGCGATTGGACAATTCTGAAGGCGAATTTCCACATACGTTTGTACAGAGACTAAATAAAACTTTGATCCTTTTTAAACTACCAACATGAATATGTTCCTAATAGCGTTGTCAGTTTCATCCCTGTGACCCCAGCTCCCATATTGGTTCATAGATTGTTAATAGATGCTCTATCTCTTTCACGTATCAAATCAGGCAGTACTCTCTTACTATATGGTACTCGTTGCGGCCTAACGAGAAACACTTAATATCAGTCACGTATAACGTAGAATTAAAGATTAAATTAAATGTAATATTCATCGATGTAGAATATTCTGTGACAAGGAAATAAAACTGCAAATAACACTGAACAGTCGCTTGAGATGGAAGATTAAAACATTCGACGAGAATACTTTCATCGAAATTTCGATTCCCTTTTGCCTCGCGTTCATCGATTCAATTTCCTGTCTACGATTGGTTTTTATTACGCATTCTATACATCTAGCAAGAGAGTACCGCGAATCACAGCTAGCTGGAACGCATTGTTCGTAGCGAGATGGCGGACTCTGACGAGTTACCACCATTTTCTTGCAGATCTGCAACACCTGGGCGGCTTCAAGATACCGTGCGCCGCGGTGCCGCGTGGCCCAGAGCTGCAGGACCGCAACGGGGGTAGGTTCCCCTGTCCGAAGTGTCCGAGCAGCTTCAACCGGAAGAACAATCTCTACTCGCACCTGAAGTTCGAGTGCGGCCAGCTGCCGAGGTTCGGCTGCCCGTACTGCGATTACGCTTCGAAGAAGTCGTCGAACATACGGGCGCACGTGCGCAGGAAACATTACGGCTACAAAGTCAGCGTGATCGACGTGTCACGAAACAGCTACGGGTCCACATCGAACGTCGAAGATCACACCACCGCGAAGATCACGCAGGCATTTTGAACGGCCGGCCACAGAGCCACTGTCCCGTGTCCCCGCGATCCCTCCAAACACGGCCGAACTAGATCAGCTTTAGACCCATGAACGAGAAAGCTCGGATCCCACGCACGCGCACCGAACGGCCTGTTCCCGCGCGAATGTGGCCCTCGCACGTGTTGGTTCAATAAAGCAAAAAAATCCAGCTGTCAATGTCGTCAGTGAGCTTTTACCTTTATTTCATCCTACTCGGAAGATAATATACATCCCTCACAGTCCACCGGAACTCGTTGATCACTCACGCGTGCACCCCCTAACTCTCCGATACGCGGACACATATTCTACCCCTGGAACGATCGACAGCCTCGAAGAAGGTTTGCAACCCCGGACGGGTTTACTCAGTCCGTCAGCTTCAGAATTCTTAATAATCTCTCTAGCCTGTCTTTTTACTCGGGATACGCAGGGTGTACGAAAGCCTCTGACATGGGTGTCGTGTGTTTGATTCTGTTCCAGGCTTGAATTACTGCGTCTACGCAGGCGTGCCCTCCTCCCAGAATTACGTTCTCCAACATGGGACCTCCGCCGTCCCTATGGTCCCCCCCACAGATACCTCGAGAACAATCGCTCGGAAGTTCCCTTGTTCGAACTGCTCCAGTGTGTTCAGCCGGAAGGGCGGTCTGACCTATCATCAGAAGTTCGAGTGCGGTCAGAAGCCGCGGTTCAACTGTCCGTACTGCACCTATCGCGCGCGACACATCTCGAACGCGCGGCGACACGTGCGCAAGTGCCATCCCGGAAGAGAGGTGTACACCGTCGATCTCTGTCAGCTGATGCAGAACGTTTGAAAACCGACCACGGGAATCACGGGCGCGACCGCGTTCTCCTACCCTGAAGATGCGCTCTGCGCTGCAAGACTGCGACCCGGAAGATTCCTGCTGCGATGGCGCGATGGGACGCGGAGGCATCGTCCACGTAACTCACTGTCCCTCGAAGAGTTGCTGAAGTCAACAGGAAGAACGGTAGAGATCGAATGCTAGAGGATTCTAACCTTCGAAACACCTGAAGTTTCGTAGGAGGATCACTGTAATTCACGGTAGCCCGTACTAGATACTGAGCTAGTTAATTTTTCGTTAGTCTAGTTTAATTTTGAATTAAGCTAGCAGCGGTACGCGTGACGTTTTAATGGTTGTAACTGAGGTAATGTTAGAAGAATGATGTGTGGGAAATTTACTAGTAGATTTGTGTTTTGATGATAATACATCTTTTTGTTCTATACACACTATCAAGAATAATTTGCCGAGAACGCATTGTGAGATTTTAGATTATTAAAAGATTACTTAGCTAATGCGGGTTACAGTGAGTTAAGTGACCCGAATTTAGAATAGGTCAAGGTTAGGGTCCCCGAGATTGACATTTCTCGAGGGAAGACTGCTCGAATCGTACATTACGAATGAACCGTTCACATTCGGAGCAGCAAGTTGAAAACTTAATTAATCTAAGTCACTCGAAATGTCTGACGTTTATTGTACACATTGCTGCTCAAAAGTATGATAAATTTGTATAAATCTCGGCAAATCTTTCGAAGTCCATGAATTCAAAACTGATTTGATGATACAAAAGGGAGATAATACAATGCAATAAAGTGTTACTTCATTTTGTTCTATCTGAAACTTTTGAGTGGAGGTGGTGTACGTATATGTATCTCATGACTACCATCATCATCATCACTGGAAATACAATATTGTACGATTACAACAATCTTCCCCGACGTTCAATTTCTCGACGTGTTCATCGCGTGCAACTTGAACGCCTTTTTTTTCTTTTCCAGGCGTTCAAAGTCCCTCCCTCGAATCTCGCTCCGTCGACGGCGGTCATAACGGAAGCAGCCAGTTGTGAGCGTTTCCGAAGTACGACCATCGAAGATTGCAGTGCCAAACAGCGACTCCGTTCCTCAAGAATCGTACTCGATCCTCGTTCTCGCGTGTTTCGACGGATCCGAACGAACTGAATCTATTCTTAAAGCAAAATAAACAAGAAACAGAAGAGATTGAGAAAAAAAGCAGTTTCCTGTACAGTATCGTTAATCATTGTTCCCGCGTCACACAGATCGATAGCGACTTATCGAAATGTTGTTCGATTCCTAGCTGAACTAATCGTGGTTACCTCGAAGACTTAATACCATAGGCGTTATGAAATTGAAGGTCTCGGCATTTTTCGTCGAATGTACGAAGATTGAACCCTGTACTTAATGAACGAGATCGGGCGAATCTGCTTTATAAATATACGAAGTTCAATCCACGTGCTCACTGAATTACAATTATTCAACGACAAAAACGAAATGCGACCCCTACTCCACAGTCTCCATTATGTTTACGTTTGTTTGTCCGTCCATGTAACTAAATGTAAAGCATGCCGCGGGGAAACTCTTAAAGCAACCAGAACAATGACAAAAGAATGTACTAGGATCGATCAAGTTGAAACGATCCTCTCCGTTTCGATGTTTGACGACGCCCTCTCTTGTTTCTGTTTCAGAATTTCCTATGGTAGATGATTTCACGCCTGTTCTGCCGCTCGCCATCCAAAAGCGTCGGAGCTACCGGAAGTCGGTGATCCCCGGGGGCAGCGAGAAACGGAAGTTTCCGTGTCCATCTTGTCCCAGCGTCTTCAGTCATAAGAACAACCTCTATTATCACTCCAAGTTCGAATGCGGCCAGTTGCCGCGGTTTAGCTGCCCCTACTGTCCGCACAGGACTCGTCACGTATCCAACGTGAGGGCCCACGTGCGCAGGAAGCATCCCGGCAACAGCGTGTACGCCATCGATGTCTGCAAAGTGCTCGACAATAGCAAGACTGAAGATTTCGGGCTGGTCAAGCAGGACGTTCGGTTTTCATTCTAAGAAAACGACCATCCTCCAAGGGACCACTCTCAAGAAGATGGAAGAAGGACGAACAGTTGAACGACTTAATGATTAATTTAGTGTATCCGTGCAATACATGTAACAGTATTCCGAAAGATTCGCGAGAGCAACACGTTTTCCTGTAACCGCGAACATACTAGTTTCTGTTAGCTACTCTAGTCCCAGCGAAGCGCTCGCGAACGACGCGAGATGGTGTTTTTCGTTTGTTGAAGCGACGAATCGTTTCCCGAGAATTTTGTAACGAGACTGCCATCGAACGTAGACGAATAAACGAGTTTAGCGTAAGATCCCTTGCGACGTGACACAGCGTCTTCTTCCTCTACCGAAAACAATTCGTTCGCGTCGTTCCCCATTTTGTATTTTCATATAACGAACCCCCTTGACGCTGATAGGATTGTATGTAGATTATAATCGAAATGACTACTTGTAAACGGAGATCTTCAAATAAACAGAACAACGTAACTGCACGTACCACACTGTTACCAATCGACGTTACCTTTAATAAACGCGACCTGTCCCGCTGACGAGAGAAAAAGGGAACGCGATCGCCGAGATTTAGTCTTTAACGTAAAACAAAGAAAAAAAGCGAACCAGTTCGGAACTAAACGACCGACAAAGACACGAACCGAGTGAATTAACCGTAAGATCGTCTGCATTTTCCAGAGAAGCTACCGTATTACGTCGACCGTTGCGGTTGGAACGGTGCGGTCCATACCGCGGCTCTCCCCCAGACATCCCTGAAGCATATCTGCCCGAAGTGCGGCAGATCGTTCAACTGGCGCTACAATCTTCAACACCATTTGAAGTACGCTTGCGGACAGTCGCCGCGATTCAACTGTCCGTATTGCCCTTACAGGACTAAGCACACGTCGAACGTCAGGGCCCATGTGCGCCGGAAGCATCCCGACAAGGAGGTCTACGTCATCGACCTGATGAACGTAGACCAACATTCACGCAACCATGTATCTGTTCCGCGGAAATAGACTGAGAAAGATCCATCAATAAAACGAAGATCTATTCCCGAATCAATCCTTTGAATCAGTTTTTGTGTGCATGTCAATCGAGTGCTCGTCCCGCGCCATCCTTTTCTAGCGACGGAAATGATCAGACGCAGAAGTGAAATACTTGATATTACTGTAGGTCAGTCCGAAGTTAGTTCGCAAGCTTTCCCCATTCTGTCTCCGTTAGTTCCCTTACTCCGACCTTTTCACGTGATTTGCATGTAGAGATGGGAGATTCGTGTATCGATAATTCGAAAGAAGAATATTTCGAGTTCCTCGGTGATTTTGATTAATGACTCTTGTCGTTCCTTGATCTAACAGTGTTTCGGGTAACGACATTGTTGAACGATTTTAGTCATTGATAATTGGATTAAGAACTTGTTGCTAATTACAACGAGATGTTGCTTTAAGATATTATTGAACAGTAAAGCACAGATGTTTCTTATAATCTTTACGGAAAATATATTTTCAACCGCACGATAAATTTTTCCGCGGATCAAGAAGTTTTCGCAAATCTGACAATATTATTTACCGAGACCTTTGAAAAACAGATACACGAACCTTCGGGTGCGAACAATTTACTCGAAACATTCTACCATAGAGTTATTTGAAGTACTATGAATTTTCGCCCGGCAACCTTTGTCCTCCCGTTCCGCAATAAAACGACGCGGCGAATGAACGAACGAACTTGTGCTTTTTTCAGAGACGTACCTACTGGCGCATTATCCCAAGATGAAGAACGTCTATTCGCTGTACCCGCAGAGGAGGTCGTTTCCGCGGATGAAGGGACAGCAGCTGCAGAAATTCCCGTGCGGGAACTGCCGCAGCGTGTTTAGCCGGAAATACAACCTCCAGTATCATTTGAAGTTCGAGTGCGGCCAGTCACCGCGGTTCAATTGTCCTTACTGCGTGTACAGGACGAGGCATCCGTCGAACGTGCGCGCCCACGTTCGCAGGATCCATCCTGGACACGCCGTCTACGCGGTGGACATAAAGAAAGGGGAAGAATCGCAGAGTCCCGAAAACGAGACGAGCGCCGCGAGTCTTTCGGAAGACAAGTCTGATCCTAAGCAAAGAAATATTATCTATAGTATAGTATAATATAATATAATATAATATAATACAATATAATATAATATAATGAAATATAATATGATATAATATAATATAATATAATATAATATTATAATAATATTAATAAATAGGTAAAGTTAATATAATTATAATAATATTATATGATATATCACATAATAGCGATGTACACTTAGAAACACTATCGATCTCCGAGAGACTTGCATCACTCGAATCAGTTCGATTCCACGACGACACACTTCCCGATCAAATTCCTCGAGCTCTCTCGCCAACCTCCGTCGTGGTCACTGATCGTCTAACGGACTAATGTATGCCAAACTCACTCAGTCACACGACAAAGTGCTTTTAGTCTGTAAGGAATGAAAGAGAAACGCGTCACACTCCCTCGCAAAACGGCACAGCCTCGCGTTATGTCTCGCTTCTCCCGCGTTCGCCTTCCTCGCCCCGTACTCTGGAGAATGTCTCTCGTATCCAGCTAACCTGCGTCTCCGCGATCAGTACCCGGAGCTTCCGTTTCGGCTCTCAATTCAATCCAAAATGACGGGCGGAGCTGGTCGTTGCCAGTTTTGTAAGTTTCCCGTTTGAATTTCTCGCGGATCCCGAATTGGGTCGGCAGCACGAGGAGTTATTTCGTCGACCTTTCTGTTTGCAGGTCACCAGCAGCAGCCGCACGCTATGCACTCGTCGTCGTGCTGCCAATCGGAGCACCGTTGCCAGTTCGATCCTGGCCACGACGAGCCGAGGAGGAGTTACCCTTGCCACAAGTGCGGTAACGTTTTCACGCGTAAGAACAATCTGTACAATCACCTCAAGTTCCAGTGCGGACAGTTGCCTAGGTTCAACTGTCCGTACTGCTCGTACCGCACCCGGCACTCGTCGAACGTGCGGTCCCACGTGCGCAGGATGCACCCCGGCCAGAGAGTGTTCGTCCTGGACGTGAGGGGCAAACAGGAAAGCCAGCAGCAATGGGTATCCTAGGCGAGGAGGAGGATCTTTGTGAAATTTGGGCTCTGAATATTACAGGATGGATCAGTGGTGTGGAAGTAAAAATTGGACGTGTGCATTAAAATTTGATTCTAGGTAGTTGATTGTTGGATTATAATTAACTATGGTTAGTCATGCGAAGTAGCATGCTATTGATTGAGAAGTTTTCTCCTAGTTTTAAGTAAATTATTGAACAGACTTAAGGCGCTTTCTTTTCTATCTTCTTAATAATGTTGTGGCATGTTGCAATACTTTTTTATTTGATTATTGTATTGCGCCGTGGTCACCTTTTTGTGTATTGTAACACTGATACATATCATGCAATCTTTCCAAATTGATTTTTCTGAAGACATTATTACAGGAAAAGATTGTGTTACGTGTTTTCGAGTCACGTTGCTTTCTGTCTCGAATCACCACGTTTCACCCTGCGCGTCATCCCTATGGAGTTGAGAATATAGACTCTGAATTCTGTGGTGTCTGAAAATTGCGTTCACAGAAACGATGGAAAAGTGCAGCTGTGCTTCTCTACTAGGCTACCGAAACCACCCCGTTTCTCGAAAGTGTAGTCACTTAAGTCAATAAAAACTCTAAGTGTTCGTGAGTCTTCCTCTTGATGTTAGATCTTTTCTAACTCCATTTTCCTCCGGCTTGTGTCTGTCAAGTGTAGCGTAAGAAAGTATTAGTATTAAACAGTTGTCTACTAGAGAGGCATCGCTGTTCCTCGAAACTACAAAATATTTAGTGAATTCGTCGTTGAAAGACTATAACCGCGATATAGGTAGTTACCGTAATCTGTAACGATCGTAAGTCGACCTTAGATTCCGTACTTTGTACAGAAACATGTAATTCAGATGATATTTTATTATTAAACGTGTCTTGAGTAAACAGTACAAATTTTTATACCCGACGTAGGTTCACCCAATAACGTTTAGGTAGCCCTATGAACTTTGGCCCATTCCTCTGTCTCCCTGTTATGTTCACCCATTCTATCTGTCTAAAGCTGTGATTATATTCCATACATCTTCTACCAAATGGCGTCCTGACATCGCTGAAGATCGCTATGCATACATTCTCAGGAATTCTTATGCATATTCGATTGCTTTGAAACATCAAGTTCGTCGGAACGCTAGTTTGGTCGAATGTGTATCCAATTTAATCATAGTTTAAGGGTACGTTTACAAAGTAGCTAAGGCAGTAGCTAACCGAGCGTCGACTACAGCAGCGATAAAACATCTCCCTATGTTTCGTTTACAGTGGAGCTGCGATACTCGCGTGGTTTCAGTCTTTTAAACTTTCACGAAGACGAACGTGTGCTATGATAAGTGAGACTGAGGAAAAATTGAAACTACTTTATTATTAACCGTATCGCTAAGTTCAATATACGCTTCCATTGCGAAACAAAAGCTTGCATTTTTCTGCTTCGCTCTTGTCGCTCCGATCGAGCATCTCAGCTCCGCTGTAAACGTACCCCAAAGATGCAGATGCTCTAACAAAAAACTTTCGACATTTTGTTCTGATACTAACTCTCATATTGCCTGTATACATCTGAAACTTGTAGCAAGTTTAATTATCTTGCAATAGTAATCTCACTCAGTCTCTCGTAAAAAGTGTCGCAAGTTTCTTGCTAGTCTATCCGCACCTTTAGCGAAGTAGCTAAATCCGTGGTCCTTTGGAGGACCAGCTGGTCTCGCTAACTCAGCCACGTAGATCGTTGTCAAGCGCCGCCAAAGGCAACTGTGAACCGACAAATCAGCCAAACCCCGTTTCGTTCCAGATACGGTCCCGTTCACCGTGTTCGGGTTCAACATCGGTATCGGAGGCAGCCACGTCCCGGCGATCGGCAAACTCTGGCCCCAGTCGCCACTCCGTAGCTTAGACAATAGCTTTAGGACGAAGAAGTTCCCGTGTCCAAATTGCACCTGTGCTTACAGCCAGAAGTACTCGCTGAACAGACACTTGACCTACGAGTGCGGCCAGGAGCCGCGGTTCAAGTGCCCGCACTGCGACTATCGGTGCAAGAAGTCAGCCAACGTCTACGAACACGTTCGAAGACGACACAAGGACTGCGAGGTGTATGCGATCGACATCCTCAAGGCCACCCGACAGAAGCACAGCCTAACCTTTCGAGAGACCGATTGAATCGCGCGATGTTAAGCTTGCCGAACTTACGAGGCTACGTAATGGATATTTGTTTCACGTCCATGGAATTATAATCTGTTTTTTCGAAGAGGTACATCGATGATAGTTGTCCACGACACTCCTGTTAATTATGCTGTTGGCATGGAGTTGTTAAAGAAGATGGACATCTACTGGTACCCTCTTTGTGTATACTCGGGAACGGGTTATTATCTTCTTCATATAAAAGATTACTGTTTGTTTTCTTAAAGAAGACGTCCTATATGTATTAGTATTTGTAATGGTTATTATAATTGATAAATAGCAACTGTTATCATCAGAACAGCTTGGGTCTTTTCTTCCGTAAGACAAGCTGTAATCCTCTACACAGAGAAGTAGAAAATTTGTTCCTCCATCATAGATGTAAAGTAGATAGAGCTTAACTGAGCTGTGTCTTCTTATTAGTACAAGTTCTATCGTAAGCGTTGGCGTGACCTCTGGCACGTCTCATTCTAGGAAAAGTTTCGATTGTAACTGTTCTCCCGAAATGTTTTATTAATTTTCTACGAGTAAATCGATGTCAGATGTCACAGTCGACTCTTGAATTGTATATACTCGTTCAGAAGACTGCGAATAAAGAAATCGATTCTTCGTTCACTCTCCCCTGTCAGATTGTCCCTCTCACCCTGAATTGATCCTCTAATTTCGACTCAGTCCGGCTTTCTAACTCATTTAGAACATCTAATCTTCGGCGTCGCATCGCCGAACAACGTTCTTACGTTCAGAACGTTCATCTTCTTTTCCAGAAGTGGAACCCTCGCGAACCGTTCGTGAACCTAGGATAATTCGACAGTGGACAGACACGAACGCCGGGCACCATACCTGTACGAATTCATGCGGAAGATCGTTCGCTCATTACGGCTCGCTGATGAAGCACCTGCGGTACAAGTGCCGACGTAACCGTCGCTTCAAGTGTCCCGTGTGCGAGTACTGTTCACACTACACGTCTGACGTTTACAGGCACGTGCGTAGGAAGCACGAGGGCTACGACGTCTGTTGCATAGACACCGGTATAAACTAACGCCGCTCCGCTGTACATCATGGAAGCATCAATAAAAGCCAAACCACGAATCCTCGTCTCGTCATCCTTTACTAATCTCGCTGATCTTATTATCTTTCCAATTTGAATAACCAGACTTCCAGTTGTCCTCGAGGAAGTTAAAGATTAACGTCTCTCATCGTTCATCCTGAATTTGTTAAAACGGATGACAAGAGTTTGAGATATCTAGTACTAGCTAAGATGAACTCGAAGCACTGCTGATTCATTTTGAAGAAGGCACTCTTCTTTCAAAAGAAAAGCAGGATGTTGATGTAGACAGTTTCTTGAAGTTCCAAACTTCGGAGAATGGCAGAAGAAGGGATCAGCTGGTCGCTTCGCTGTTTGACCATACCATTTTTCTTCTTTTCCAGACATCAAATCCTCACGACCCCTTCATGCACATAGGACAGTTCAACAGTGGACAGACGAAATCCCCGGGGACTATAGCTGTACGAACTCGTGCGGGAAGTCGTTCGCTCATTATGGCACGCTGATGAAGCACCTGCGGTACAAGTGCCGACGTAATCGTCGCTTCAAATGCCCCGAGTGCGAATACTATTCGCACTACACGTCCGACGTTTACAAGCATGTGCGCAGGAAACATAAAGGCTGCGACGTCTACTGCATCGACACTAGTTTAAACTAACGCCGCGCCACTGTACACCATAGAAGCATCAATAAAAGCCAAACCACGAATCCCCATTTCATCATTGTTTATCAATCTCGCTAACCTCAGCATTTGTTTTCTCGTTCGTAGAATCAGACTTCTAGTTGTCCACAAGGAAGTTGAACGTTAACGCCTTCCATTGTTCATCCTGAATTTGTTAAGATGACAAAAGTTTGAGATATGTAGTGTAACTAAGATAAACTCGAAACATTGTCGATCAGGTTTGAGGAAGACACTCTTCTTCAAGAAGATACTTTCTTCAAGTTTCACATTTCAGGAAACGGAAGAAGAGGGTATCGTTTGGTCCCTCCACTGTATGACCGTACCGTTTTTCTTCTTTTTCAGGCATCAATTCACGCTCCGCAGACCCATCCGTCGTTCCTAGCGTGTCTCCGAAGAGATTCCCCTGCTCGAACAATTACGATAGCTCGTTTATCACAATTATAGTTTGAAAAGACACGCGAGGCACTGCAACTATCGATTGAGGAAGACCTCGACCGCCCGCAGACGCAGAAAAGCCAAGCATCGAGGCATTCCAATTGGCTTCGCGTAGGTAAAAGGGAACTTGTATTTGTACTCGACAAAAGTTGAATAAAATGGATCAGGTATCATGGAGTATCTATAATTAAAGTTGGATCATTAAGTGTGTATCGATCGTTGAAAGAGCTTCATGAACGATTTATCTCTTATTCTGTCGATTTCTTGTGCACTGGATCTAGATTGCCATCTATCGAATCCAGATTACCATTCTAGGCACCGTTCTCCAGGATAGTCGACGAGTCCGAATAGAAAACATCTGGTTGCACGTTCTTCGATCATTTTGCGTTGCTCGAGGCAATCTTGGTAGACTCTACTAACCATGGACAATGTGTTCTGTCGTTTGCAGGAGATCCGACTCACCGATCCCGGCAATCCAGCGCTGGCCGCCACCCCTGCCCGACATGCGATCGCACCTTCAAGAGGAAGAACAGCCTCAGCAGACACCTGTTGTACGCCTGCGGGCAGAACCCCCGGTTCAAGTGTCCTTACTGTTGGTACCGGTGCAAGCTACGCAGCAACGTCTACAGACACGTCCGCACCGCACACAAGAAGCGCGAGGTGTTCGCGATGGACGTCGTCAGACACTGCGTCAATAGACCCAAGTGAACCTTCACGGTTGGCCCTCCTCACGTTACACTTAGCTGACTCGTGTTCTTCGCGGTGTCCAACCTGGATCCTGGCTGGCACTCGAAAAACTTGATCCGTATTGACTCGATTGTCTTTTATTCGAAGCACCTTCGGAACCATTTGATCGTCGAAGTTTCTTCCATTCAATCTCATCTGATGATCCTTCATTAGGTACCGAGGGAAGATTCAATAAATGAATCCATCCATATTGCGAAATGAACGGGTATGCCGGTCAGCAATGTATCATCGCGAGCTTCCTCCAAATTATACGATGATCTGAAATGTGCAATAAATGCTGTTCGAAAACGTTCCTCCAGTCGATGATTAATCGTCTTCGGAGTACAGGCGAGCGTACTCTCCGAAGGGACGCCTAACACCCGCCATCTCAGCCTTGTCCTCGCATTCAGACTAACAAAGATTCTCTCCGGGACTCGTGTGCACGTCTTGCGGTGCTAGATACCACCTCCACGCTACATAATTCACCCGGAATCGCCCGTGAACTGCTTGAAAACCAGCCATTGTACCGTGTCACGCTTCCCAGCCGGGTGTCATTCTTGCTCGCGACTTCTACAACGTCGTCGCCGCGATCCGCCGGTTGCTCGAGCAAATATACCTACCACGAACCACGTTTCTGCTTTCAGATCCTCTGTTCTTGATGAACGTTCGGTACAAGCAGCTGCGCGGGCGCCGCTACAACAACGTCGCGCACAAGAAGTTCCCGTGTCCGAATTGCCCCAGCGTTTTCGTCTGGCAGTGCACCCTGAAGAGACACTTGAGGAACGAGTGCGGCAAAGAACCGAAGTTTAAATGCCCGTACTGTGATTACCGCGGGAAATGGAAAGCGA